GGATACTTACGCAGCAAGTCTCTCGAAATTTCGAGAGTTTTCAAAGGTTTATTCTTAGCTCGAAAAAAGACAACCCATGGTCCTTTCGAAATTGGTTGGTAATACCTGGTTCGCGCAACGTTGGCATCGGAAGATGCCATAAGTGTTGCACAAAAGATGATAAAAAAAGGAAAAAAATAAAAACCTTCTCCAATTTATTAATTTTAATTACTAGTAATTAATTTTTTGCACGGCGTACAAGCAAATTAAAGTGAAAAAAAAAATCGACATAAAAAACTTATATCTAGTTGCAACAAGTTGTCTCACTATGAACCATAATCCCTTACCGAGGTGAGAGACAGAGCCACGCGTCACGAGGCAAAACAAAACTACAATAGGGAGGCAATGGACTTGCAAAATGTATTGTCTAATACTTATGCCGGTTGTGTAAACAACCTATGCAGCTAGGTATTCCGTTTGCTGCTGCTACGATGCGGCTATTGACGGAGATGATGCGATGATGATGGTGATGATTTGATGATGATCGATCACTGGGGTAAAGGTGAACAGTCTATACGTAAGACTCAGCTTACGATAGCTGCTTCCGAAAACCGTGCGCGATTCACCTGAACACTTTTTTTCTACAACGATAGCGATGGAAACGCGGTAAAAAACGAGTGTCGTATGAAGAGACCAGGACGCTATTAACTGGCTCAGCGCTCCATACGGAATGTTCATTTCTATGAATGAAATAATTTGCATCCTTCTTAACCTTATGGTCAGGTTTAAGGAACGTTTCAGTTATAACGGAAATATGCACGTTATGAACTCTCAAAAAGTTAAATAGCTCGTCTTCATTATCTTTAAGAGGGGGCGACCTCGGCGTAGTGGTTAACATCCATACCTCTCACGCCAAAGTCACGAGTTCAAATCTCACCCTCGGACAACTCACGAATAACCCAAGAGTGTTAAAGTGACTATAATAAAAAAAAATCTTTAAGAGATCGAGCATTCCAATTTAAAATATTTAATGCTTTAAAATCCATTACTGAATTTTAAAATCATGACAATATTGTTTGCAAATTTTACTCCAGTTTGAATAGCATCACACGTGGAGTTAGATTTAAGCATATCAGAAATCATGTCAATTAATGATTTCTGTAAAAAATCCATTTTAGGGGCAGTAATGCTTCCTAAGTCAAAATCGTCAAAATTTCCGTTAGGATTACGTTGGTTAGTATTTTGATTTCTACCCGCTGCAATAGCAGCATGGTAGCTCCATTAACTCGCTGATCATTGTTAGCAGCGAGGGGAGTAGGTATAGATGAAAAATTTGAACCAGGGGTTATATTTGTACCTACGGGTACGAATGTAGAATTTGTTCCTCGCTGACCGTTGTTAACAGCAGAGGAATTTGTACCTGGTCGAAAACGTTGAGCGTTTACTACTTGTCGCTTAGAACGAGATTGCAGGATCGCTTTGCGAGTCTTACATTCCCAAAAATTGGATTTGTGGTTTTCACCACAATTTGAACATTTAAATTTCTTAGGATCTTCCTTCACGTCCTAGTCGTCCATGCATTTAGCTGGCATGTAGCAATTTTTAGTTCCGTGACCCCATCCCTGGCACAATTTCCTCCCGTCTTCCTGAAGTGTTCCCACTTCACTCGGACATGGAGCATAAGGCTAGCTTTTTCTAAGGCCTTAAGGTTGTTTAGTTCACTAGACTTGAAGTGAACTAAATAAAAATCATTAGAAATCCCGCTTCACAAATCGCCAGGACGAGATTTCATTTTCAGTTTGATTACTTGGAGTGGCACAACTCCAAGTACTTTTGCCAGTTCATCTTTGATCTGATACAGGGATTCATGACAACCTTGAACACACGTTCAGTTTTGGTGTCGTAAGTAAAAAATTTGTGATGCTTCTCAGTAAGATACTTGAGAAGACATTTAAATCCGTCCAAGGTTTTAGCCAATACACGGCATTCACCCCGACGTCCAATTTGCAGTGAAAACTTAACTTTCACGAAGTTCAAAAGTTTCATGCGAAGAGCATGGAAATTGGAAGTGGTTATCACAATAGGGGAATCTTTTCCTTATTGGCATTAAACCGGGAAAGTTTACTAGAATTTTTCTTGGATTTCATTCTCATCATCCGTGAGCAAATCAAATTGATTACTCAAATTAATTTCATCAGAAGGGGGATCAAGAGTTTGCCCCTTTCTTTTGCGTTTAGGCGCCATGGCGGCAGTAAATTTTTATCCAAATCGACTTCCAAGCAGATTACTATAAGAATCTGAAGGATCGAAGAGGAATTTTCCAAATCGATATCCAAGAAGGATTACCTCGGGTAGGGTCCAAACAAGGATAGAAGAGGAATAAGAGTTGAACAAGGTAGAAATTTTACAGGTTAAGCACTTCAGCAAAAAGCAAATTTAGATTTCCGCACGGCAAGAGAGCACGATGCGGACTGATTATTTTACTAATGATTCTAAACTTCATCTTACAATAAACGGAACAACAGCTGTAGCGTCATCTAAGTTACCTGCCGCGAATGGAAAATCCACGCTCCTCCTCAACAAGATTCGAAACAGCCTGTTTCGAATATTTCCTCCAGCACTTCAATTTTGCAAAATTATCGTTATCGTTAACATGGTCTAAGACATTAATCACTAAGGTCTCATGATCGGTTATTTTCAAATCAGTATCCGTAACTGAACAAATAGAATCAAAATTGGAGTAAACATGATCAATTAAAGTTATACCATAGAGGTAACTTTAAGACCAGAAGGTCCCGAAGAAACGTGCTCAACTTTTTGGCTCAACTCTGGTACTATCTTCGGTCCCAAGCTAATCGATGCACCCCTCGAAACATATGAAAATCCACGAACCCCTCATTTTATCTGTCAAACTTTCATAGCGAATCAAAACAAACACGGAACCGAAAAATTACCCAAAATTAAGTTCTTTTCACTCATCTCCCATGTTCCGTTCAATAAGCTAATTTTCAGTAAACCGCTTATAGTAGTTTACATTTGTCAACGGCGAAAATAATTACTTACTCGTGAGTATTTTCTACCTAAAATTAAGTTCAATTGACTCTAATTTGAGAATATCTCATATACTCACTAGTAGCTTATTGAACGATAGTCATGAGAAAGTCGAATCTCTCGTTCCGTTTTTGACAACAACAAAAAGTGAGAGTGGGATGCAAAACTCAAAATTACCCAAAATTAAGTAAAAAGAACTTAAATTTAGGGTATTTTTTTTCTCTCTGTGAATAGTGTAGTACTGGAATTTATACTAGAATGGGGTACGTTAATCGATTTGCCAGGGACCAATAGGCTAGTCAAGTAGTGAGCCAATTTAAAATCGTTAGTTTCGTATTGATTGTTGGTTCTACTGTGCCTCAGCTAAAATCTTCAAATGATTCGAATTATGGTTGTCACGCCAATTGGGTTCTTTAAAGGGCCACCCACATTAGATCCGTTTGCGTTGCGTTGACGTAAATTTGACAGTTGGACAATAGATTTAGCTGTCACTTTGCCGCAACGCGTCCGATCCGGATCTAATGTGCGTGGGCCTTAAGGGTATTGAGGTAAATGCATATTCGTAATCTGCATTAAAAGTGGAACCCAAACCCAAAATTTAATCAATTTTGGTACGCTGGAACTATTTTAAATAAATAAGTCAGTTTGTTAGTTTAGTGTCAAACAGTGAAGTTATTATTTTGCTTTCAGTCTTGATTTATAAATCAAGATGAAAGTATGTGGGTTTGAAAAAAAAATATTGCTGTTCTCAGAAAACGAAGCTCTTTCAGATGATGTATAAAACCGACACATACATTTCAATACAGTTGACAAACACTCCGACGTTTTGTGTTGTTGGCTGCACCTAGAGTATCTCTCACAATTTTTACAACGGAATTTACACTCGTATGACTGAATTGGAATTAAGCAGCAGTTTTAGATTTTCAACAATATCGCAACAATTTGTGACTCGTTACCAAATCCAACGGTCCCGTATGCAAAGGCAAATCAAATAAGAAGTAATTTTTGATAGCAAATGTTCTATTTAATGTTCAAACTCGTTCGAAAAATAGAGGTGAAGTGCGGGCTGGGCTTAGTATGACGAAAAATATATCTTAACCCTATCCTGGAACTTGATTCATCCTCATGCAAAAAATGAGCACTCAAAGACATAATTTACCCCCTGACGATAGTGTCAAAGACGTAATTTTCCTATAGATGACCCAGTTTTCTAAGAAATTGTTCATTAATATCATCTAAGTAAGATGGCACCTACAGGCTAATCTTTTCGTTCCAATCCTGTCCAGGAATCAGTTCACCCAGTAATTGAACCACAGACCGTCAGTAATTTGATCAGCCTTTTTTACACAAAGGGAAAGAGTTCTCCGATGACTGACCAGATTTCAACAACCCCGTCGAAAAAAGGGCCGACTTTTCGCTAGCGCCTGGCAGACCAGTTCTGTCTATGTTAAGAAATTATAATCCACAATAGAACAAAATAAACAAGACGTGACGAACTATGCACATTCCATAGCACAGCAGATACAGCAGAGTGCTAATCCATAAAGTGCATTAGCAGACCAATAATACCTCAAAAGGAAGATGACAAAAATAGATTGATGAAAATGTTTGTCGCTGTTTTTTTTATCTCCTCTAAACGACCCACCAACTCTCTTCCTGTTCGAATCGCTATGCCTGTAGAGGAAGGCGGAGGAGGAGGCATGACAGAGAGCTTCTTCCTGTTTTATGGTTTCCCGGTGTGCCGCATGGAGACGGCAAAAATTATGCACAGTAAGGCAGATTCCGGCAGGTCGTAAATTAGAAGGCTGTAAAAAAGTGCCCGTAGTTGCAGTTGCAATAAAATAAGCTGTTTGTGCTAATGCCTAATGGCATTCCCTGTGGGAAAGTGATTTTCTAACGTTTAGATAATTCGAGGAATTTTGTCTGGAATGTAATGCTAATTGTTTGTCATTCTTCTTCTCATCCCGCAGCTCCGTTACACGGGAATGCTGGAAACGGTCCGAATCCGGCGAGCAGGCTACAATGTGCGGCTTACGTACGAGGAGTTCATCCAGCTGTACCGGATACTGCTACCCAAAGGGTTGATCAGCTCGCAGAAGGACGTCCGGGACTTTATGAACACGATGGACCTCAACAAGCAGCACTATCAACTGGGGCTGACCAAGATCTACATGCGGGAATCGCAGAAGATGCGGTTGGACATAAGCTTGCACACGAAAATCATCGACAGTATCATTACGATCCAGCGGTGGTTTCGATCGATTCTGCAACGTAAGAAGTACTGCCAGTACCGGAGTGCGGCCTGTACGATCCAGTCGTACTGGCGGTTCTATGTGAAGGAGAAACAGGCCAAATTCCTGCGGAAGCTGCGAACGGAAGCGGCCACCATGATCCAGAGTGCATGGCGAGGGTACACCGTGCGGAACTGGTACAACAAACTGAAGACCGGGGTACAGGTGGTGCAGGCACGCATCCGAGGGAATCAGGCACGGGAGCGGTTCAAGGTGGCTGTGAGTAAGGTGAGTTGGTTGGTGAGGTGGTTGTTCTTTGAGCACTTTGCTTAACGCTGTCCTAAATTCCTTAATCAATCCAAAACACATCCCCCTCTATTTGCAGAAACTGCAACGAGAACGTGCCAAACTGCGCTCGACGCAGAGCCTTCCGGCGGTCGAACGCCCGCTAGAGAGTTCCTTCGATACGCCGGAGATCCAGCACCACAAAGCGATCGGTGGCGGCAAGAAGCAACCCTCGCCGCCCGTGGGCATTAGCTTCGAATCGGCCATCGACATAGTCAACAAAAATCGATCCCTGTTCAGCGATAACAGCCTAAGCAGCGCGGACTTCATCGACGACGACGAAGATGATGAGGACGAAGACGACGAGTACTGCTACGAGGATATGGGTCTGGTGGACGATCCGACCTTCGTTTCGGGGGTCCTGAGGCACGAAGTGTTACTGGAGAAGAATGCCAGCAGTGGCAGCACGGACAGTAGCCTATTGGACTTCGCCAGCAGTCAGCAGCATTCGAAGGTGCCACTCCAACGCCAGGACGATGTATTGGATCGACCGATACGGAAGTACGAAATTGAGCGCGCGAGTAAGAGTACGTTTGACGACGCAGAATTGGCCAAGTATCGCTATGAGCGAGGACTAAGTTCGATGGGTGGTAGCAGTACCAGCAGCGGCAAACTACCGGTGCGACGGGTAGACTCGGGACCATCGCCGAGCCATCGTCTGCGGTACGATGCGTACGGCAGTGGCGGCACCGGTCTCAGTAGTGGTGGAATGATTCGAAATCAGAACCACAGCAATAATAGTTTTAATTCCAGTAATGTTGAAATCGTTCTTGTAAATACCGGTTTAGATAGTCTCTCTTCTTCAGTGGCCACTTCCGGAATTGCCAATAGCGGTAGCAGTGGTAGTAGTCCGAATGCACCTACCGAACAGCAACCGCAAAAGCTTCCTCTCCAGCGGAATCTCAACCGTAACACAATCAGCCAAACGCAACAACAGTCCAGTACCACACTCAGTCGTCGGGAGCTTCTGTGTCGAAGCCAGGGCGACGAAATCAACTCCAATTATCACCTCCAGCATTTGCAGTCATCATCCCTCACGCCATCGCTGTCGTCAGCCAACTATCAGAACGTCCAGTACACTTCCTCCCCTACGTCAGCATTCCATCAGCATCAACAACAGCAGCAACAGCAGCAGCAGCAGCAGCAGCAGCAACAACATCTATCGCACTCATACAACAATAACAACAACAACAATACAATCAAATCCCCCAGCACTTCCAATACCAACAGCAACAGTGGTAGTAGTAACAGTCTATACAATTACGTTACTCAGCAACAACAACAGTTTATCCCACCGGCGGCTAGTCTGGGAGCTGCACAAAGCAATCTGCCACCTTCGCAGCGGGTATCTAGCAGCTATCCGGACGACTTTTCCCAGAACTATTACAATACCACCACACCGAAGGGTGAGTAACTTTGCTCAATCTCAAACCCCTCCATTAATCTCAATCCCAATCCCATTCCAGGCAAGGCAGCTGCTCTGCTCGGTACCAAATCCGAGGACTCCAAGTATTCCGGTGGCAAGGACATTGATCTGACGCTATCGAATCCTGCGATGGTGGCGTCCGGTACGACGATCGTTCCGAGCAAAACGCGACGCATCAAAACGAATCTCAGTGATGATTTCTCCAGTGCAAGCGGCGGTGGCGGTTCGACCGGCCAAACCGGTCTAAGTCGACGGGGTGCTATCGTAGGAGTGGATACACTCAAACGACGGAACTCGGATCCGTCCAACAAGACCCCCCTGTTGGAGGTGAACCGGGGGAACGACATGTATCAGTCGAGTACCCGGATCAACATCGCGGGGCACCAGTTTCGCAAGGTGCAGCGAATCAACAAAGCGGAAAAGTGTGCCAGCTGCCAGGAGAGCGATTCGTTTGTCAACGAAGGCTACCGTTGTTTGGATTGCAAGGTGTTGGTACACACCAAGTGCATCCAGAATGGGGGAATCAAAACCTTGCAGTGTGCTGCCAAACGATCGAAGCGGATACGAACGGGAAAGCACGACAAGCATGCCCCCATCGGGGCCAGCACTCCGAATTCCAAATTCTCCGCCACCCGAGAGTACACCGACTCGACCGATAAGATTATAAGCGATGCCAAAGAGCTGCAGCTGATGCAGGATTTCATCACGCAGAAGATCTGCAAGATGGAAAGCGATTGCGAGAAGCCCTCGGAGGTCGATCGGGTGTTCAAGCAGGCGCTGCGCGAATTCAAGGACAACTTGGTGGCGCAGTACAGCGTGGCGCACAAGCAGAACTCCGACCTGCTGAACATCAAGTATCGGGATCTGATTGCCAACTTCGAGCAGGTGATCGAAACGACCTCCGGGCGGAAGAACGACTTTCCCCTGACGATGGGGGTGAACGCGTTCCGAGGCTTCATGAACGAGTTTATGAACTCGCGCGAGACGGAGAAGCCGAAAGCGAAGCGGAAAAAAGACAAGAAGCGCAAGCATGACGAGCACACGACCTACAATGGTGAGTAGCAGCTGCTATTAGTTTTGCAGCAAAACAGTCTTTGAATTTTGAAGAAATGGCTACAGTTAATTTTTCATAACTTGACATTGAAAGTTCCACTGCGCTACGGAGAACTGTGTATGCGAAAAGTGATCGAAACACTTAACAGGTCTTAGAATTAGAACCTCGGCAATTCACCGATCAACATGCTAAAGAAGGGCTAGGGCACATTACGATTCTTTGATGTACAACAATTTTGTGGGATATAATCGCCTTGTCTCGCAACATTGCAACATTTCTATTCGTCCAAATTGATCTTTGGGGAAATTTAAGAACTTCGGGAAAGTTCCCAGAACGTTCAGGGAACGATCGTGGAAATTCCCAGAATATTCAAGGAAGTTCTAAGAACGTTCTATGAAATTCCCAGAACATTCAGGGAAGTTCTAAACAAATTCAAGGTAATTCACAGAACTTCAGGGAAATTTAAAGAAGTTTAGGGAAATTTCCAGAACTTCAGTAAAGAACCCAGAAAAATTACGGAAGTTCCCAGAACATTTAGGGAAGTTCCCAGAACACTCAGGAAGGTTTCCAGAATATCAGAAAAGTTCCCAGAATACTCAGGAAAGTTCCCAAAACATTCAAAGAAAACCCCACAACATTCGTGGAAGTTCCCTGAACATTCAGGAAAGATCCAAGAACATTAAGGGATGGAAGCTCCTAGAACATTTAGGGAAGTATCCAAAACATTCAGGGGAGATCCCAGAACATTAAAATGAATACCCAGATCATTCAAGGAAGTTTCCATAAAACTCAGGGAAGTTCCCTGAACATTCAAGAAAGTTCCCAGAACATTCAGGGAAGTTCTAAACACATGCAATGCAAGAACATTTAGCGAAGTTTCCAGAACACTCAGAAAAGCATTCAAAACATTCAGAGAATAACCCAGAACATTTAATGAAGATCTCAACACATTCTGGAAAGATGCCAGAACTTCTAGGAACATCCAGGGAAGATCCCAGAACATTCAAGGATGCTTCTGGAATATTTAGGGAAGTATGCAGAACATTCAAGGAAGATCTCCAGAACATTCAAAGATGTTCCCAGATCATTCAGGGAAGTTTCCATAAAACTCAGAGAAGTTCCCTGAACAGTCAGGAATGTTCCCAGAACATTCAATAAAATTTGCAGAACCTGAGGGAAGTTCCCAGAACACCCAGGAAAGCTCTCAAAACATTCAGAGAAAAACTTAGAACATTTAAGGAAGATTTCAGACATTCAGGAAAAATCCCAGAACTTCTCTAGGATGTTCTCAGAACATTCAGGGCAGATCCCCAGAACATTCAAAGATGTTCCCAGATCATTCAGGGAAGTTTTCATAAAACTCAGGAAAGTTCCCAGAACATTTAGGGAAGTTCCCAAAACATTCAGGGAAGCTATAGACACATTCAATGAAATTCACAGAACCTCAAGGAAATTCCCAGCACTTTAGGAAAGTTCCCAGAACACTCAGGAAAGCTCTCAAAACATTCAGAGAAAAATCCAGAACTTTCAGGGAAGATCCCAGAACATTCAAAGATGTTCCCAGATCATTCAAGGAAGTTTCCATAACACTCAGGGAAGTTCCCAGAACATTCAATAAAGTTCCCAGAACATTCAGGGAAGTTCTAAAGACATTCAATGAAGTTCATATAACTTCAGGAAATTCCTAGCACTTAGGGAAATTACAAGAACATTTAGAGAAGATCCCATAACATTCAAGGAAGCTCCTAGAACATTTAGTGTGGTTCCCAGAACTTCAGAGAAGATTCCAGAACATTCAGGGAAGATCTCAGAACATTCAGGGAAATTCCCAGAAGATTCAGGGAAGTTCCCAGAAGATTCAGGGAAGTTCCCAGAATATTCAGGGAAGATCCTATAATATTCAGGGAATTTCCCAAAACATTCAAGAAAGTTCCCAGAACATTCAACAATTGAAGTATCCTAAATTTCTCTGAAGTTCTCAGAACTTCTACGGAATTTCTAGAATATTCCTGAAGTTCTCAAAGCTCCTTAAACCATCTCCAAATATCCAGAACTGTCTGAAGTTTGCAGATCATCTTACAGCCTGTCTGAAGTTTGCAGAACTTCTCTGATGTGCATATAATTCCCTGAATTTCTCAGAAGTTTCTTGAAGTTCGCTGGACCTCCTGATTTTTTTAAGACTTCCCGCAAGATCATGGGACGACTTCTCTGAAGTTCGTGGGACGACTTCCCTGAAGTTTGTGGGACGACTTCCCTAAAATTCGTGAGACGACTTTCCTAAAATTCGTGAGACGACTTCCCTGAAGTTCGTGGGACGACTCCCCTGAAGTTCGTGGGACGACTTCCCTGAAGTTCGTGGGACAACTTCCCTGAAGTTCGTGGGACAACTTCTAGGAAGTTCGTGGGACAACTTCCCGGAAGTTCGTAATACGACTTTCCGGAAGTTCGTGGGACAACTTCACTGAAGTTCGTGGGACAACTTCCCTGAAGTTTGTGGGACAACTTCCCGTAAGTTCGTGGGACGACTTCCCTGAAGTTCGTGGGACGACTTCCCTAAAATTCGTGAGACGACTTCCCTAAAATTCGTGAGACGACTTCCCTGAAGTTCTTGAGACGACTTCCCTGAAGTTCGTGAAACGATTTCCCAGAAGTTCGTGGGACAACTTCCCTTAAGTTCGTGAAACGACTTCCCGAAACTTCGTGGGCTGACTTCCCGGAAGTTCGTGGGACGACTTTCCTGAAGTTTGTGGGACGACTTTCCGCAATTTTGTGGGACGACTTGCCGGAAGTTTGAGGACGATTTCCCAAAAGTTCGTCGACCGACTTCCCTGAAGTTCGCTGGACTACTTTCCGGAAGTTCTATAGATGACTTCCCTGAAGTTTGTGGGATGACTTTCCGAAACATTGTGGGAGGACTTTCCGGAAGTTCGTGGGACGAGTTCCCAGAAGTTCCTTGGACAACTTCCCTGAAGCTCGTGGGACGACTTTCCTGAACTGCGTAAGACTTCCCATATTCAGCTTAGGTTCAGATGCAAATCTTGGAAGTTTTTGCGACAATCTATAAAATGTTGTGAGAAAATTGTCTCCAATGTCATCAATGTTTATCATCCTCATTCTGTATTCCGTTCGAAACGGATTTCCCATATAAAAAAAATGTATGGGAAATCTGTTTTGAACGGAATAGAGAATAGGGGTGTAGGTACCTATATAACTTTACTTTAAATACTTTCAGATGATTCCCATTCAAATTCGAATTGCCAATTAATTCGGCATTCCTTCCTTAAATTCAAATAGTTGAACTAATTCTCGTTTCTGTGCTTTCCAGGCCACACATTCCAGTTAACGATCATCAACATTGCGACGGCGTGCGAAATTTGCCAACAGTTTCTCCTCTGGCCAATCGAACGTGGATTGGTAAGTTCCGAAATCTCAGCCACTCTAGCAATCGATGTAGTTACTAATGTCCCATTCTGTCCCAAACAGGTCTGCCAAAACTGTCGCCTAACGTGCCACAAGCGGTGCTACCTGAAGTCGGCCGCCTGCAGTAAGATAGCGGCCACGGCGGGTGGCCCACTGGTTCCCGGTGGGTCGGTAACCGGCGCGATGAGCAGCGCCGGCGTCGACAGCGGCGCCGGTGGCCATCAGACGAAACTGTTCGGCGTTCCCCTGACGGCACTGTGTGCCGGAAGTGATGGGATCAAGATTCCGGCTCAGATCTACAGCTTGATCATGATGATTGAAATGCACGGGTTGTACTCGGAGGGAATCTACCGGAAGAGTGGGGTCAGCTCGAAAATCAAGGAACTGAAATCGCAAATGGACCGCGTGGCAGGCGGATCGGAGGAAGTGGAATTTGAAAGCTACAACGTGCACGTGTTGACGAATGTGTTGAAGTCGTTTTTGAGGGAAATGCCGGAGCCGCTGTTGACTTTCGATAGGTACGATGATTTTCTGAGGGCGGCGGATCTGTCCGATGCGAACGATCGGGTGCAGACGCTGTTGTCGTTGATTAAGAAAATTCCACCGGCTCATCACTGTCTGCTGGAGAGGTTGATTTTCCACTTGGCTTTGGTGGCCAAGCTGGAGCAGTACAACCGGATGTCGGCGAGTTCATTGGCCATTGTGTTTGCGCCATGTGTACTGAGGACGAACCGATACGTTCCGGCGCAGGACAGTTTGAATGACATCGGGCGGCAGACCAAGTGCATGGAAACGTTGATTACGCAGAAAATGTTGAACGTGAAGAGTACCCTGGCGGACATTGATACTCTGGACACGGCAGCACATACGGCCACGACCCGGTTGAGCACTTTGAGGAGTAGTAAGGTGTTTACGCAGGAGGAGATGGCATCGAATTCGAGGGGAGTCGGTGGAACTCTGGAAACGGAAACGGAAGAGATGCTGCTGGAAGGCCACATTCAGGAGATTAAGAAAGAGAAGGCACTGCTAACGTCAACATTGCCAAGTTTGGCCCGGGCGAGCTCGGATGACGATCTGCTATCAACGGATCTGGACGGCGAAGGCGGGAGTCTAGATGATCTGAGCAGTAGCAAGGACAAAGATCTGGACACTAGCTATAACAATGTGATCAGCGATAGTGGAATATCGATTCGCTACCAGCCACCGTCGGATCACGGTAGCAGTAACGTAAGTCTCAACAACGACATACCAATGGCTGTGAGTTATAATCTACGAGGAGATCAAAGTATCGATTACTTCCATAAAGTAGGCAAAACGAAATCCCTGTCCCACCAAACGCTGATCGATCGGGAAGCCTTCCTGAAAAGCGGTAGTCAAAGTGGTTCCGCGACCACCCCGCAATCTCCTACCACAACAATCGCCACGTCGTCTTCATCCCCTTCTTCGTCGTCGATGATCAAGTCGCAGAACGGAAGCACCAGCAGCGTTAGTAACCACAGCAGCAGCACCACCACCTCCAAGCGGTCAGATCTGAATCTCAGCCATTCGATGGTTACCCTATCGACGGGGGGCGCAACCGGTGGTTCCACCGGATCCACCGAGCTCCACCGCCAGAAGCCCATCATAATGCGTAGCATTTCCGGTGGCTACGAACCGTCCTCGTCGTCTTCCATTTCCGCCGGTGGAGCAGGATCAAATTCTGCTTCCTCGCAAAAAATCCTAATCCAACAATCCGCTTCGATTCCGACGCTGAAGGACGCCAACAAGGTCGAACCGATCAAAATGAGCCGGCGGATGTCGGGCAGTCGGCGGCAAAATAGTAGCGGAGGTGGTGGCGGTGCCGGCGCAGGAGGTGCAAGTCCGTCGTCGGGTTCCGGCAACGGAAACGGCGATGATGAACCGATTATGGTCTAGAACAAAGAAAAGCCAATCTCGAAAACTCGTCGCTGTTTAGGACTACCTAGTTCAGTTTATAAATTTCTTCTTGTTCTTTTGTTTCACTATGATTTTTTTTTGTTTTTCTTTTAGTATAAAGAAAACGATGTAACGACGGAATATTGTTTGGTTGTTGAAAATGTCGAGTGGATGATTTGAATGAAGCAGCATATGAAGAAGAAAATCAAGTCGCATTCAGTTTTTTTTTATGTGTAACAAAATTATTATAACGATGATTTAATATTAGAAATTCTATTTATAATGCGAGATTCGTTGAACAGAAATCGATGGATGGGGAGAGTGAGTGTATGTGTGAATCGTGATTAACCCGTAAAATAGACAGTGTTGGAACGTGATGTGGAGTCGGAGCGTGTTCGTCGTGAAAGAGAAGAATGTGCGTTCGATGTAATTAATATACAGTTGATGCAGAAGAAAGAAGAAGAAAAACTCATTAAACTATAGATAACACAAGCAAAACAAGCGCATATAAACAAAATCCACACCCACACACACACACGTATAGTTAGAGAAAGGAATGAATCATAATTAACTAGAAGCAAACAATGGAAATGATTATTATTATGATTATAGAACACACGCTACCCGAAAACGATCGAATGAACAATATTAAAGTTTTTTTTTCAAAACAAATTTAATGTTTACGTAAAACGCTTATGGTTTCCTGTTTTTGTTTTTGTTCCGAATTTGCTTCCCTTTGTGATATTATTTTCTTCGGTTGGTATGTTTTATTTTAAAATTAGCAATATAGGCAATGTGGGTTTGTTCATCACAGGTGGGGCATATTGGGGTGGAATACAGACAGTAACACTTCCTTCTTCAACGGTCAACTCCACTGACGTTTCCTTACTATTGTTCAACGAAACGACTTTAACATGAATGGCCGCTAAGTTGTTCTTCATCTTCTTCCCTTTGCCGTTACTGAGGTTTGTTGGTTCTTCTGGTTAGGACACACATTATTGCTGGGTGACGCAAAAAGCACTTGACCACCTTAGAAATATACCTTTAAAGAATTTTTGCACCAAGGGGTAATCAACTCTGCGCACTGTGCCGAAACACAGCACGACACACAGTTCGGCACGTTATGGATCACGTTGACAAGTTGAACAAAAAAATATATTATAAAATGGCATCACTGCCGAGCGTTGACATTCTGCCAATCGTTGCTAAGGATGAATACTTTGTTTACTCTAAAGAGCCTGAATTTATAAAGAGACGACATGTCAAAATTAGAACAAAAAAAAATCAAATCAGATTGACCGCCCACGGTTGCTGCTCTGTTATTACCAGATCAGCTGCAATTACACAGAGAACCAACAGATGATGTTTGGGACTAACATTCATCCTCAATGTGTAAGAACTGGAGATCTAATATTTAGCAATACCAGCGCCGGCCGTGTCCGAATGCAGGTCAACTACACTGAGGAAATAATTCGTTGGAATCTCATACGAAATGTTTATGTAATTTAACCAAAAGAATTTATTTTGAATTTCATACGATAGAAATATGAACGCGCACCTCTGTTAGCATTTATGTTTTTTGCAGTAGACACATATGGATTTCATAAATGTGTCGTATGAAAATGATACGTTATGAGTATGAAATGTACGTTTCATTCGTATGAATCAGAAACGAGAGGAATACGAAAAGCAATCGCATCAACTATGAAATTCATTGTAGCTATTTTTTTTGCAAATTAATTTTATACCTACATGTAATCATAAATTCATATTTATTTTATAAACAAAGAAAACTTAAACGTTGAAGCGTTGCATTTGAGTTTTTGTATTATAAACAACATCACACAAAAATTAACTTTAAAATTTAAGTGCCGGGACTACAATCTGCCTGGCTATTGACGCCACTGGTTCCAACTTTAACTCAGTTACGTCCGTTATCGCAACAGGATTGCAGTAACCGCAGTGTTTTGATATTAGGCAGATTCTGTGGACAAATTGATAGTAAATATTTGAAATAATCTTTACATTAACTTCTTACGTTTTGTTCTAGCCATTATGCAATTCACGTCCAAATTCAGACCGGAAATCTGATTCAAGCAGCATTGCAAACCACATCAGTTCGATTGGTACCGTGTTCTCTCGACTAGAACAAAACGACCTAGCTCTGATATTTGGTGACTACAATCAGTCTGGGCTCTCATGGAACGTTCCTGCAAACGATCTTCCTAGCATTGATGTTCTTCGCTCAAACATGCCCGCATCATGCTGTGCTCTCCTTGATGGTTTCAACCTGCATGGCTTAACGCAAATCAACTCGATACTGAATAGCAACTCTCGGCTGCTTGATCTCGTTCTGGCGAACGAAGCTGCAGGACTGGAATGTTCTATCCTAGAAGCCCCACAGCCTTTGATTGGCATCGACACCAATCATCCTGCGTTGGAAGTTTCCATCAACCTATCTGTTCCTGTTCGCTACGATAACCCCCCCTGTTGATGTACATGAGCTCGACTTTCGTAGAGCAGATTTCGTCGCGCTGAGTCACTCGCTTGCCCAGGCAGATTGGCAGTTCCTTGACACGTGTTCATCTATTGATGAAGCCGTCAACTACTTCGCTGAGGTCGTCGGCCGGGCAATAACTGATTCTGTCCCATTGAGGAGACCCTCTCCCAAACCCGTATGGTCCAATGCTCGACTACGGAATTTGAAGCGTCTGAGATCGAAGGCCCTCCGTAAATACTGTCGTACTCGTAACCCATTCACCAAACGATTATTTTCAACAGCGAGCAACGAATATCGCACATATAACCGCATTTTTTACAAGAGCTACACAAGGCGTGTGCAGGCTAATTTACGGCTTAATCCAAAGCAGTTCTGGTCATTCGTGAATACCAAACGAAACGAGGAGGGGCTGCCAGTTGAAATTCACCTGGGTGATAGAATCGCCAGCAATTCCCTTGAGAAATGCAATCTTCTGGCAGAACATTCCAAAAGCATTTTCAATGACACTACGGCTTCGTTGTCCCAAGTTGCTGAAGCGGTGAGGGACACTCCCAGTGATGCTTTCAATTTTTCGATTACCTTGGTTACAGTAGACCTCGTCGAATCCGCCATCAAGAAGCTGAAATTTTCTAATGCTGCTGGCCCTGACGGGATCCCCTCAAGCATCCTGAAGCGATGCTGTTCAGAGCTTGCAACACCGCTTTCGAAGCTGTTCAATATTTCATTACAGCAGGGGGAGTTCCCTACGCGTTGGAAATCGTCATTCATGTTCCCGATCTACAAGAAAGGAGACAAGAGAAACGTCGAAAATTACCGAGGGATCACATCACTCAGTGCCTGCTCTAAAGTTTTCGAAATCATCATCAACGACGCATTATTCTCTAGCTGCAGAAATTACATTGCTCCTGACCAACACGGTTTTTATCCCAAGAGATCAGTTTCAACAAATCTAGCTCCGTTCATTTCTTTATGTCTTCGGAGTATGGAAGCTGGAGCGCAGGTGGACGTTGTATATACAGATCTCAAGGCTGCATTCGACCGGGTTGACTACTCCATACTGCTAGCTAAACTTGAAAAACTCGGTGTATCCTCGGGTTTAACTCGTTGGTTCAAGTCCTATCTGACCAATCGGGAACTTTGTGTTAGAATCGGATCAGAGCAATCGGACTATTTTACAAACAGCTCCGGTGTTCCTCAAGGTAGCAACTTGGGACCATTGCTATTCTCGATTTTTGTGAATGAGGCCGAACTGATCCTCGCAACTGGTTGCCGATCGTTCTACGCGGATGATGTGAAGATCTATGTGATTGTTCGTAGCTTCGCCGATTGCTTGCGGCTTCAGCGAAGAGTGGTGCTCAAGAAACTATCTCACGTTGAATGTACAAAAATGTAATATTATCTCATTTCATCGCAAGCTGAAACCAGTGGCATTCAACTATACGATAAATCACCAACTTCTGCAACGTGTGGACAATGTTCGTGACCTAGGAATCACGCTGGACTGCGCCTTAACATTCAAGCTTCATTACTCGGGCATCGTTGCGAAAGCTAACAGACAACTCGGGTTCATTTTCAAGATCGCTGACGAGTTTCGCGATCCTGCCTGTCTAAAAGCTCTATACTGCTCTCTAGTGCGATCGATCTTTGAATTCAGCTCGGTAGTATGGTGCCCGTATCAAGCAGTTTGGATAGCGAGGATTGAATCTGTTCAAAGGGAATTTGTTCGGTATGCCTTTCGTCACCTTCTTTGGAATGACCCTGTGAACCTTCCGCCGTACGAAGATCGTTGTCAACTCCTGGGTCTTGAAACACTAGAGCATAGGCGGATGATTAGTCAGGCCGTGTTCGCAGCGAAAGTACTTATTGGTGATATCGACTCTCCAGGAATCTTGGCTGAATTCGAAATCTACGCACCCGAACGAGTTCTTCGGTCGAGGAGTTTCCTGCATCTTGGACCTCGTGCTGCGAACTACAGCTTGCATGACCCAATACGGTTCATGTCTGGGCGTTTCAACGAGTTTTACGAGTTTTTCGACTTCAACTCTGCAGCGGAAACCTTTCGTCACCGTATTCAACGCAGACTTCTGAGAAGGTGAGTAGCTGTCCATTTAATGAACACGTGAAGGATTGCGCTACCTGTTTATTTTTTGTTTCCGGTTCAACTGCATGACAAGGACTTCTACCTGATTCACGGACAACTCTATGCCATAGGAGGATAACTTTTTTTATGCTATATACCCCGGACAGACTATGGCTTATATCATGTAATATAGGCTAGCTTGCAATGAGCACTCATACATCTAGTTTTCACTGGAAATCCTATGTATGAGTGCTCATTTTTTTTTTTTTTTTTCTTGATTTGTTTTCCGTCGATCTTGTTTTCCGTGCTGAGCACCAATGCTACCGACGCCAGGAAGGCAGCTCCCACACCTGGACCCTACCTATCGACCCATCAACTCATGAACCGGGGACCAACGGCTTTACTTCCCTTCCGAAGGAAGGCGTGATCAGAGATGTTATG